ACCCTGTTTGTTTCTTCATGGCATTTGCCTTTATTTCCCATACCTCTTATTTATTTCCTTGTTTACTATTAGTCTCCCCGCTAGAATATAAGAACACACATCTATTAATGACATGTTTCTTTGATAAAATGTCTTCTTAAGACACAGTGGTAATTTTAGCTGGTGACAGTATTCATGGAATACCGGAAAAATAAAAATGTTCACAGCTCTAAGTTGCTCCTCAAGATGGTTTCTAAAATACTGCTATCCAGGTATCAAAAGTTATCTAGAGAATTCGAAATATATATCTCCATATTCCTCAATAAACGTCGCTCTAATAAGCAAAAGTGTTCAAAATTATTCCACTGAATGATAATTAAATACTTTTGACTTGCAGTTCCCCCCTTCCGCCACTTGATGGAATATTCTCCAAAGTCTACATTACACATCACACTTAGGAGTAAACTCTTACACAGGTGCAGACTGGTAATCAACAGGGAGACACGGGTGTCACGTGTGTTCACTGCCAAATGAGCGAGGAGGGTGACCCACAGCCTCTTTCAGTTGCAGCAAAGATGCCCAGAGCGTCTCTGCCACGCTGGCAAGGACCTGCCATCAGAGAGGCACTCACGGAGCACCCACAAGACTCCCAGCACTAAGGATGGGCCCTGGGGTGACAGATATACAGGCAAGCCTACCTTCTCATCACAATGTCAAAAAGAGCATTTCCTCCCAGGAAAAAATACTCTAAGTAGGAGGGATCTTTCCAAATAAGAACTAGTCAAAAGGGCAGAGACGGGCCTTGTTAACCTGCATCCTGCATCACACCTGCAGAGCCAACTTCAAATTGCGGGGTTTCTAGGCACCTGTCTGTCTCGATGCCCCCAAGAGTAAATGAACGTGTGTGGAGATCACTGCTCTACTGTTTTAGGGTCACTGAGTAGGAAAAAGAGGAAGACAGGCCCAACATATGGGGGTGGTAAACTGAAAGGGTATTAGAAGTTATTTTCAGCTTGTAGGAAACAACAGGGCATGAAAAGCCCGTTAGAAAACAGAAAGGGAAGTCCTGTCAGGAGATGCACCCATCCTCAGAGTGGCTCAGGTGACCCGGGGTCAGGGGACGGCGGCCGCACGGCACCGGGGACGGGCAGCGCTGGAGGACAGCAGTGGGCCCACCTCACAAGTGCCCGGCGGGGCCCACGTGCGCCCCGTCCCTGTGAGGGCCGCCAGGAATTCACGGTGTCCCACTGTAAGTAACGGGTGAAGCGCTCATCTACGTTCAACGTAACGAGGACACATAAAGAGACAGTGGTCTGGGGCTTAAAGGCTGAGTTACGTTTCCCTTCTTCTGGATCCGGCTCTGGATCTCGGGGACGGGCACGTCGACGTAGATGGCCACGTGAGGCGGCAGGCACTCGCGAATGGTGGTCTCCTTCACCGCGCTGTAGTGGCCCACACCTGGCACGAGAGAGGCACCATGTGTCAGCAGACGTCCACGGACAGCCCTCAGAGGCACACTGCTCTTCAAGTAAAAGGCCAAAGGTACACGCGGTTCTCAGAGCCACGTGTCGACCTGCGAACCACGTAACAGTCACGGCCGTTACCGCCAGCTGCACACACGTGAGGCTGGCACATGGCGACCGCAGCACTCACAGCCACCCTGCAGGGCAGGGCTTCTCATATCTACAGACCAAGAGAGTCAGGCCAGAGAAATCAGGCAACTTATATCAACACTGGGATTTAAGGCCCGGCCTAAGACCTTTCTAAAGGCCAGACCTGAAGTGTGCCTGGCCACACGGGAGGGTGCAGCACCTTCACCCCTTCCCAGCCCGCTGCCCCTCCGGGTCCTCCTCGCTGCTGGCCCCATCGGCCCAGTTGGGTCCACTCTTCCTCTCCCACAGAGCTGACCGGCCGGGCTTGCCAAGAGCGCGCCCGTGTCCAGGTCCGCCCAGCCCAGCAGGCTGCTCCACTGCCCGCCACAGGCCTCCCTCCCGCGGGGCCCCCTCCAACCCTGACTTCCGCCCAAGGCTCTCCTTTTCCATGACTTGCCTTCCCTGAACGCATCCTTCAGATAAACAAATTCAAACCTAACCACCGGCCTCCCGTACCTAAAACCCCTCAGGGGCTCCTCAGTACTTTCAGGAGAAACCTAAGCGTCCCGGCCAAGGCGCCCGTCCTGCTAGTGCGGCCCTGCCCGCCCCTCCGCCAGCACCCGGCCTCGTCCAAGCCGCGCCAGCGCCTGCTGCCCACAAAGCTCCTGGAGCGGCACCACCAACGGCTCAGCCAGCGCTCACTCCTCAGGGACGCTGCCCGCAACATCCCGTCCCCCGACTCGTCAGACACTCTCGACACGCTTCCTCCGCACCCGGGGACCACGCCGCGCAGCCAGCAAGTGCGCTCACTGCAACTACGCATCTAGGCTGCTTTCCCATCCCTCCCCGCAGCATGGCGGGGGCCTTGTCTCACCGAGCCTCACACCCCTCTCACCTAAGGCAGAGCCCGGCACACAGCGCGCACCCCGGAAAGGCTGGCTGGCTGGCCTTGAGGCTGTCGGAGTGCCTGTGTGACTCAGTGCCTGGCTCAGCAGCACGGGCTCTGGCTGCTCTCCGCACAGGCACCAGGACTGCGCAGACAGCAGGATGGGCCCGCAGACCAAGGGCGGCCCCCTCACCGCTCAGCCTTGGCTGGCTTCGGTCTCCCCATTCAGGAACCCACCGCTCGTACTCTGCGCTCCACATCTAGCCGCCTGCTGGATCCAGGAGACCAAGCTCGCCATGAAAATGCCCACAGGCTGAACAACCACACGGCCTTTCCACAGCCCTGTCCGGCACACGCCTAGCTCCAGACCCCTCGGCCCCAACCGGACGGGTTCCCTCACTCCTCGTGGCCAGGCTACTTTAGCCAGGAGCCTTTATTCTTGTCACTGGCCACTTGCCAGACTTTCAACAATCCCCCAACCCAGTGCTAGTGTCCCTAAAAGCACTAGACCAGCACGTGCAGGAGAGAAGGAAAGGACGAGAATGCTGCAGTCAAAGGGCCAGCAAAGAGGAGCGAGGGAGGCACGGGAACAGGACCGCTCAGTGAGGCTAGCCACGGGCCACAGAGCCACGGAGCTGTGCCACTAGGTGGCTGGAGAGCAGGGAAGTTTCCTGGGAGGCTGTGTGGAGACTCGGCTTAAGCTGTGCGTTCAGGATCCAGTACACCACTGTGCTTGCACAGGGAGAGACCAACTTAGGAGGGAAAGA